GATGAGGATGAGATTAGATAATGACTCTGGAGTCTTTTGGGAACATGAGATACACAAAGCCCTGCACAACCCCATGAACCGCTGGCTCTATGGGATCCCATAGAGCCCTATAGCACCCCGGAATAGGATCCCATACAGCCTTATGGTTTTTCCAGCAGATAGGATCCCATCCTGCCCCACAATACCAGCCCAAAATCTATCTTTACAGCACTCCCCCCATACAACCCAGCCATCCCAGGACTCGTGCTGGGCCTTTTTGCCCTCTGCATAGGACACGAGCTCTGCTCATGTATCTTCGGTGGCGCCAAGCTTCCACTCTTCACTCAAAGCCCAGTGGAAGGGGAAGCGGCGAAAACACCAGGCCCTCGGGGGCTGGGGGGGAGGGTTCAGGGTTGCTTGAGGGGGAGGGTTCAGGGTTTAGAGCTTTGGACTCTGAGGGGGTGGGCTGACAGGGAGCATTTGGTGTTTCGAACACCTCTCTCCAACTCTTTTAATGCCTTTGAAGGAACCTCAGAACTCTGAACCCCTGAGACAGGACAAGCTTCAGGACGCGGTGAAAGCGAGCACATCGACTTGGTCATTGCACACTGCGGAGGAGCTTTGGATTGGATCGATTCCTTCATGACAAGGCCATCTTCCGGGTCCAAGCAGTGTCGAGCATAATATAAGGGCCTTAATAATTAGAATAGGGTTTGGGGGTATCTTACTTATTAATTAGAATAGGGTTTGGGGGTATGTTATACGAGAATAAGGAGCCCCCCAAAACCCCATTCATTACCCAGATTGCGCAGCTCTAAAAGCCACCCCCGACCTCTTGAACCCAAGCATGGAGGGAGGACTGCCCTGCATGAATCTAGACTCCAACATGCAATGTAGTACCCTTATCGGGTTGTTCTGGTGTCTTCTTATCGGATCCAAACCATAAGAAACAATGTATTCGAGGGTCTTCCTGAACGTGCAAAAAAAGTTCAGTACTTTGCGGAAGGAAGTCTTAATACGGATCCCTGAAAAGGCAGGCTGTTTAGAATGCTACACCCCAAAATCAAAACCCGAAACTCTGCCACATTCTATACCCTAGTTAAAAATAAACCCTAAACAGGTATTATCTAAAGACCCATTATGAAGGGCCGAGACTACGAAGGGCCGAGAGCCAGTCCTCTCGAGGAACCTATGGCACAGAACCCCTTGAAGGGTGTCCAGCTCTCGTAAAGGTTGATAGGCTTAGGGCTTAAAAATGTATGGGTTTAGGGCTGCTTAGGATGATTTGTTAGGGGTTGGATTCTGCAGAGGCCTGATTGAACTAGTTCAAACCCCTTGCAAATGGAAACCACGCAGCCTCAACCTTACAACCCGTATAGTCACCTTTTCTAGGATCATTCGAGTATCCCCGAACCCTTAGCAAGAAATGGCCCTTATCATGCCCCTACAGCCACCCATATGGTGCACCGTATGATGCCCTTACCGTATATGACAGTATATCACAGCATAGCATCTCATAGTATGTCAAAAAACACTGTAGGTCATAGCGTATCATAGTATATTACAGCATACCATAGTAGAATTTAGCATATCACACGAGGCCGCTCTCCAACATCTCCATCCTCAGCATGTGCGGCCAGCCAGTAAGCGGCAAAGTTGCTGAGCAGTTGACCTTGTAAGTTTCCTTATTTGTTCTTCTGGGCTCTTGTTAACTGGACTTAATTTAAGTTACCCCGATGGACATGTATTACCAACGATATAGTTTCCAGATTCTGGTGACTCAAATTGAGTTCTTTAAGAAGAGCCCGGACTTGGGTCTTGGCTCTTTCGTCTCCGTGGGGCTTACATGGGATTTTTACGGCTAGCTAAGCTCGCGGACTTTGATTTTCAGGGTCTACACCGTGTTTCTCTTCTTAAGGTCGAAAAGTTTTGCTGCACTTCTAAGGTTGCCCAGCATCCGCGGACAAAGACCGCCGCGCTGGATAACCACGGCTCCCAAGTTGCCTTCAACCCCAAACCCCTGAAGCCCTAAAGCCCTTCGATTCCACCAAGGAGCCCTAAGCCCAAACCACCCTCAAGCCCTTGAACGCCTTCAGTTAGATCCTACTGGTCAACCCTGGCGGCTTGATGAGTTGGGGTGGCACCGGGGTGGTGTTTAAGTTTGAGGCTAAGCTTGGAATGACAAGGGGCTCGGGGTTTAGGTGTTAAGGGCTTTGGACTTGAAGTTTAGGGCTTTGGGTTTTTGTTGTCGAGGTGATGTAGCTTCTGCCGGCTTTTTGTCTGTTTGGTTGAAGTTAGCAGTCCACCGCTTCGTGTTCGTGTAATGAGTGCCTTTGATAGGGACCCTAATTGCCGTGAAGGGTTGTACATGGCACGTTTTCTTCCATGTTTGATTGATAGGCTCGACTGAATCCTGATCTACAGTTGCTACCTTTCCTGACCCAACTAATTACCAAAGCCTCATTAAACCCTCAGGCACTGCTTTTGCTCGTGAGAGACGTCTTGTTTCCGGGGGCTCCGAACCCGCAACTTTGGGTTTACGGCCGAAGAACCCGCCCGAACCAGGCTATCACCACGCGTTCGCGCACTGGCTGGCATCGCAGGGAAAGCACATGCCAGCCGATCGGCACGAAGACGATCTCATTTTGCAGCTTGTCTCAGTGTGACAGTCGGGGGAGTGCACGGTTAAACGTACTTTTCTGTGACAAATAACCCTAAGGGCCAAGTACTCCTTATTATGGGACCTTGGGGCCTTTTTGGGCACCAACAGCCATAAATAAGGACTACTTGGACCCTTAGGGTAATCACGTGCGGCGTGGGGGGGATTTTCGAGGTTCACCTCCGACCGCTACCTGCGCAACATCACCGTGCCACTGAAGGACATGATCGCTTCTGAGCCGAGTTAGGGTTCTTCGAAGGGGTTTTGTTGGGAAGACTGAGGAGTCCCGCTCTGTAAGGTTTAGGGTTTTGGGTTCAAGGAGGGGTTTTTGGTTTTAAGAGGTCGGCCTTCGAGCTTCAGGAGGGTTTAGAAATCACAGGCATGATCGTTTAATCTTGAGTTAGGTTAGGGTTCTTACAGAGTCTCTATAGGGTCGCAGGGGCCTTGATCATTTTATGCCTTATGTAAATGCGCCGGTTTCATCTATCTGGCCTGCTGCTTTAGGGCCTGGAATTTGGGGTACCTTGGAGTTGAGGCATGGCGAGGGCTTGGGGGTTTACTTGGATCTTAGTTTCTGAGCTTGATGTCGGGATTTCACAAGGGAAGGGCTCCACAAGAGAGAATCGCAGGATCGTGATACCGTCAAAACAGGTGCCCGTAACTTTGAAACCCTCCATGTTTGTTGGTCTGCTACATTCCTAGAAGGCCAGGGCCCTTCGGAGGATTAACAGCCCTATCCCCATACTGTGACCCAAAACCCATTGAACCAAGCGAAGCTGACCACAGCCAACCGCTTTGTTTTAGCTTTACTTTGGATGCTGCCCCCACTCAGTAACAGTTGAGTAATATTCATAATATGAATATAGAAGGCCCTAATCGTAGCCCTATATTAAAAAATGTTACTGTGTTGCGGCAAGCAGTACCCAAGCTCTACTATTCTATGCCCTAAACCCTAAACCCTAAACCCCTAAACCCCTAAGCCCCTAAACTCTAAACCCCTCTAAACCCCTCTAAACCCCTAAATTCCCGAACCTTTTTCGGCTCCAAGCAGCCTAGGATGCGGCGAAGGGTCCCCGGTTCGCTTGCGGACGAAGGATCGGGGATGCAAAAAGCAAGAGGGTGGTGCTTTAGGGCTTCAGGGTTTAGGGGTTTAGGGTTTAGGGGTTGCGGGTTTTAAGGGGTTTAGTCATTTTCGCGTTCAAGGTTTTAAGGTTTGACTTTTGTTTCTTTTGTTTCGATCTTCCAAGCCGTAATGCTTCGGAACAGTGCTATCGCTGAGAGCTTCGGGGCCACCTAGAGGTACTCAAAATTGCACCTAAAAACAAAATCCATACAGACCAAGTCTTTGGGCAGAGGATTAAAACGCTTTGGGTAGAAGACACATTGAGTGAGATTTTGCAGACGTCACAGGTTGAGATACGAGGCAAGACTCCTTCATCTCATGGTCTCAGACTCATGCCGCAGGCCCCAATAACCCCCCAAAGCCTGAACTCGAAAGATTAGAGTCTAAATGTCTAGCTCCTATAGACCTTGTGCCCTAAATCCAGAATCACATCGTAAAGCCCAAGCGCCAATAGCCAAACCTAGACCGGGTAAGGACCTAGTAAGGAGGCAGCATGCCGGTGTTGTAAGTCTCACGCCTTCCTACAAGACGCCGTGCGAGCTTGCAACAAAAACATGCTGGCATCCTTTATAATGGTCAAGCCATAATTACACGGGCTCAACACCCATGCAGCTATACAGCTTGAGCAAGTCGTAACACAACCTTAGTTCACCCGATAGAAGTCGTATGGAAACCCGCCTTAGTAGCGAAACCCCTTCCTGCTACAGTCCGAAAGAGGCAAATGCGCATCCCGGGGGAGCCCACCACCCTCCACTTCGTACAAGCGCCTTGCATTTGCAGGTCTTCAGATTCAGAGCTCAGGCTTTAGAGATATACCCTAATTTTCCAGGGAACTCAGCATCTAGGCTTAGTGCTAGGAGCGGGGCGTTTAAGCCTTTCTGCATTGGGTGTCGGAAGTAGGCTTCATGAGATATTCGTTTGCAGTTGAGGTTTAGGGCAGGGGTTTGGGCCGCCCTGAACCCTGAACCCTGCACCCTAAACCCTAAACCCTGAACCCTGAACCCTAAACTCTAAAGGTAGCCTCGGGCAGCTGAGGAGCTCATGGGTACCTTCAGCTTGCAGCAGTACAATCACACCGCGCGAGAAGCTGGGTTCTTGTTCTTAATTTACGTTAAGATACCATGATAGGGATCTATGGTAATATAGTAAGTGATATGGTTTCTTTTTTCTATGGAAACTTAACTTAAATTAAACCCCTTAAGAAGAGCCCAGGACAGGATCAAGTCGCAGTACCAGAACATGAAGCATTGGATGCAGGACATGGGTATCAGCATCTTCCTCAAGGACCCCGACCGGATGTCTCAACTCCCCAAAGTTTAGGGTTTAGGGTTTAGGTTTTGCGGTTTAGGGTCTAGGGTTTAGGGTTTGGGGTTTGGGGTTTGGGACAGCAAACGTCGGATATAGGGGTGGGACGACTTGGCAATATTATCCCCCCGATACTTCTTTGATACTTATACGATGGTTTACCCCGAAGCCTGTTCCTCACAAGGATCGGACCGTTGTCCCTGTCTGTTTCGGTGATATTTTCCTGACCACGTACTCGCAGATCTTTGGGCCCGTTGCGGGCATTTGGGAGCATCTGCGTAGTTCTTTATCGGGGCACGGTGAGATGGAGAAGGATTTTGCAGAAAGATCTTGGGCCGCGCTGCTCTCTGTGCCGATGGTTCCGGAGGAGGAGGTTCAGGCACATAGAGACACGCAAAGGATACTCTGATTAGATGCGTAGGACGCAAATCTATCTACATGTTCAGTGTGTAGTCACATACATATATATATATACACACACTAATATTCAGGTTACATGTATGTATATTTATATATACACACGCATGTCTATCTATCTATATATATATATGTAGTCTTTTTGTTTCTTTATGGATACACACACACACATATACATACATACATATATATATATACATATACCTATACATGTACATACACATAGACATGCACGCACACGTACACATGCACACACATACACACACATGCACACATACAGACATACATACATACGTACATACATACGTACCTACATACATACATACATACATACATACATGCGCATACATGCATACATACATACACACATGCATACACACACACATACACACATAC